TGACGTTCGGTAGCTCCTTCCACAGAGTTTCTATGGGATTACGGTCTGGAGACTGACTAGGCCACTCCAGGACCTTAATGTGCTTCTTCTTGAGCCACTCCTTTGTTGCCTTGGTTGTGTGTTTTGGGTCACTGTCCTGCTGGAATACCCATCCACGACCCATTTTCAATGCCCTGGCTGAGGGAAGGAGATTCTCACCCAAGATTTGACGGTACATGGCCCCGTCCATCGTCCCTTTATTGCAATGAAGTTGTCCTGTCCCCTTAGCAGAAAAAAACTCCCAAAGCATAATGTTTCACCTCCATGTTTGATGGTGGGGATAGTGTTCTTGGGGTCAGAGGCAACACTCCTTCTCCTCCAAACAGGGCGAGTTGAGTTGATGCCAAAGAGCTCGATTTTAGTCTCATCTGACCACAATACTTTCACCCAGTTCTCCTCTGAATCATTCTGATGTTCATTGGCAAACTTCAGACAGGCCTGTACATATGCTTTCTTGAGTAGGGGGAGCTTGTGGGCGCTGCAGGATTTCAGTCCTTCATGGCGTAGTGTGTTACCCATTGTTTTCTTGGTAACTATGGTTATAGCTGCCTTGAGATCATTGATGAGATCCTCCCGTGTAGTTCTGGGCTGATTCCTCACCGTTCTCATGATCATTGAAACTCCATGAGGTGAGATCTTGCATGGAGCCCCAGACTGAGGGAGAGTGATAGTTATTTTGTGTTTCTTCCATTTGTGAATAATTGCACCAACTGTTGTCACCTTCTCACCAAGCTGCTTGGCAATAGTCTTGTAACCCATTCCAGCCTTGTGTAGGTCTATAATCTTGTCCCTGACATCCTTGGACAGCTGTTTGGTCTTGGTCATGGTGGAGAGTTTAGAATCTGATTGATTGATTGCTTCTGTGGACAGGTGTGTTTCATACAGGTAACAAGCTGAAATTAGGAGGACTCCCTTTAAGAGAGTGCTCCTAATCTCAGCTCGTTACCGTATAAAAGACATCTGGGAGCCAGAAATCTTGCTGTTTGATAGGGGATCAAATACTTATTTCACTCCTTAAAATGCAAATCAATTTATAACTTTTTTGAAATATCGTTTTCTGGATTTTTTGTTATTATTCTGTCTCTCACTGTTAAAATAAACCTACCATTAAAATTTATAGACTCAGCATTTCTTTGTCAGTGGGCAAATGTACAAAATCAGCTGGGGATCAAATAATTTTTCCCCTCACTGTATTGTTACTTGAACTCAACCATTTGTACTGCGTATCATTTGTACATTGTGTATTTCCAAATTCAAAACAACCTATAAAAATATAACAAAGTGTTGTGAAAGAAAAAGCCATTTAGCATCTACCTTACAGACCAAATGAATATATGAGAAGTGGCTATGAAAAACTGGCTGAGTACAGCAATGGAAAATAAAAGCACAAAGATAATACAAACAAAAGCAGTCTTTTACTAATGTCCTTATTAATGAGGGGTAAGGTTAGTGAGAGCTAATGTGAATTATTTTATGGGATTTCATATTTCTGTTTTTAGGAGGAAAAGTTGTAATAAATTTGCTAACAATGTAAATACTTAAATACAAAATAAATAGGCACATTCAACTATCCTCACTAAGCTTTGGTATGACCACATAAAGAGAAGTCTCGGTAATTTTGCTGTGCTCTGCAATGATCTCCCTCCAAGATACCTTAACACTTTATTGAATTATTAATTTCTCCCAGCCACCACAACTGGACAGAGGAAATGGAATTAAAAATCAGTTATTTTAAGATAACAGTGAATCACATTAATCTTCCAATGAAAAACCAGCATTGAGCAATGATCAAATCAGGTAGTACAGAAATCATATTGGAACAAAGATATTTTGTTTCTCATTAATCTGTCAGATACTACACAGCAACAGTATAGGAAAGATAAAAGAGAACTATTTCTCAGTTATTTCTTTCCTACAACTTAATTTATGACAATATATATAATAGCTTCTGTAATAAAGGCATCCCCAGAAAAATATAGTTACTTGTTACAATGCTCATACCCTGGATCCGCAGTGAGGACAGTCAGCTACAGGAACTTAAAGTTCAACCTCTTTCCTGAAAGCAGATCTATATGAGGTTTAACACGTCAAGAGCAGAGCACTTATGAAAACATGAAAACTAAAAATATTTCCATGAATTTGCAAACAATGATCAAGAGCATGTACTCAGTCCTCTCCCAGGGTTAAATCAACATTTCATTAACAACCGGGCTTGTGGGGCATGAAATCCAGCTATAAAACAAAATAAACAGAATATGGAGTATCAAATATAATTAGAAGGCAGGTTTAAAGAGGAAGAACTGGAGAGAAATAATTGATAAATAACATAACTGAACTGAATAAAACCGTATTTATTTAGCTAGCACAGGGATAAATAATAGAAAGTGGACTTTACTCGTTGTTCTAATCTTTCTTCTATGTATTGTATTGTATACTTCAAAAATAAGAATATTGGCTGACTGGATCTCAATGCTTTGTTCAGAAGGTTATCCACATAACCTGAACAAAGGTTGAGAAAACCTTTGAGAAAAAAATAACCAAAAGCAAGCTAGGGATAATAGGAAGCATCAGGGAAGCTTTTTAATAAATAGTTGTTTTCTGACTTGCAATTACCCGCATCCATGAATTTGTGCTGGTAGAGAACATCTACTAGCATGCGCTCAAAATTTCAAATCATAATCAGGAGCTTATAGCATCAATGACTTTGTCTAATAATTCACCAAGTTTCAGCTTACGTCTGGATTTACATTTAGAACAAAGGGAATAGGGAAACAAGGAAAAAAATAAGGAAGTTTTATATGAAAGGGACACTATAAAAACAGAGCAAGAAATGCATATAGGATAATGCATATTAACAAGCCTATAATTACAAGTTCTATGGCTAGCTACTAAATGTTCTTTTAAATCAGAGAAAATTATTAATGGCAAAATTATTGAGGCTTGATCAAAAAAGACAAAAAGTGAAGTAATTATAACCTATATAAAGAAGAACTTTAGAGATGTAGTGTGTTATTAGACCTTGTAAAATATTGTTCCATTGCTACAGGGATCCACTCGCTGAAAAAGAAATCTCTATCAAATCTATTTCCTTTATAACTGCTTCCTCTTTCTCACTAAACAAAGTTGTCTCATTGTAAGCATTGTAAATGAAGAAATGAAGGTTTTATGAGAAACCTTCCTAGCACATGGAACACAGCAGTTTATAATATGATCTTTAAGTGGGAGGTTTAGGGGGAATAACTAACTATATTGGCAGCTAGTTCAGCATGAGGCAGCTACTTGCATCTAACAATGAAAGACAATAACTTACCCAATTTATGCAGTAAATTTTATAAGCGGAATACAGGCTTATGACCGCTCATTTAAAGTTACAATGTCCTAGGAAAAAGTGATTTATAACCTATCCCAGTGGTGACGAACCTATGGCATGCATGCCAGAGGTGGCACTCGAAGCCCTGTCTGTGGGCAAGTGCACTGTTGCCCCAGCCCCACCTCCCCCCATGGCCCCCTCACCAGCAGCCCCCGTAGAGGAAAGTTGCCCCTGGGCGCGGCCCGCACAGAGCAGCACAGCCAAAGACATTGCCAAGCAGCAGGGACAAGATTCCTCCCTTACGCCCCATAGCGTGCAGATGATGCTGTGGGGTGTTGGTGGAAGGCGTGGCTGCCATGGCACTGCAGAGCTGCCTGGGTGATCTGCTGCAGTGGGCCATGGAGGCAGTGCATGGTCCTGTGGTGGGTGGGGCAGTGGGTGGGCGGAGCAGGCAGGGTGGGAGACGGAGCGGGAGGCAGTTTTGGGGCACTCGGTCTCTAAAAGGTTCGCCATCACTGACCTATCCTCACACTTATAACTGCTGCATTCCCAATGTCACATGAACACAATTCAAGCACCTGGCAACTGGCTTGCATTTCCAACTAGTTGCAATATCCTGCAGTCACATGATCACAATATGTGTGACTTTCCCGTTTGGTTTTCAACAAAATCAGTCAATTGGGGAAGCTGGAGTCATTTAATGATCATGCGATTCCCTTATGAACTTAGTAAAAACAGCTGTAAAATCAGGCCTGGTCACATTTATAACTGCACCCAACTATGACAAAATTTCCATTTTATTCCCAATGGTGATCGTAAGTTGAGGGCTACTGTACTCTATTAGTCTTTAAATGTAACCAGACTATTTCTTGTTTGATATGCAGATTTTAACATGCATTCTTATCTTTATTGCAAAAGAATATAAATACAGATGGTTTGGCTAACTAAGCCTAGTACTGAACAACATCGAGATAAATCTTGCATGATGATTTAGGAATAAAATTGGATTTTATTAACACTATAAGGAATTTATTTCTGCATTCAAATGCATACTTTGCATTCCTAATATGCAAAGGTTTTACAGTTCTTTATCTAGTTTTGCTCTATGGCATGACTCTACACATTTATAAATGAGACTGAGGCAAAGCACTAATAGAGCCAGAGCTTCACTATTGCTACTCTTGAGAATCCACAAGGTAAAGTCCTCAACACTGAATAGTTGATTTCCTCTTTCAGGTTGAGAATCTTCTCAATCCTATTACTCTATGCTGTTTTATCTCTACACATATCACCCCACTTCTTCATAACTTAAATTATCTGCCATGTTTATACCTTGATTCATCTTTCTCATTCTTAGTAGGTATATAAGGACTTTCAAAACTGTACTTTCATGCTCTAGATTCCTGAGCTAGTTTTAATACTATCCTTCATGTGTTGTATCATAAGTGTTATATGCTTGTAGAGTTGACAGCTTATATTTTACTTCATTTCTGAAATATTTTTTTCTTCTGGTAACATGAGAAAAATAAAGCAGCTCTGATTTTTAAGCATCAAGCCTTGTCCTCTTTTTAAAATATTGACTTCTTCATTAAAGTCTTCTTTGAGTATGGCTTGGTAGAATGCAAGTGCTAACAGCAACCTGCAGCCTTACCTGACTCTGAAGTTCACTCTGCTGCTTAAGGCGCAGGTTCTCTGGAGTGTCAGCCACCATAGTGAAGGACTGCTTTGGATAATGTCTGTAAAATAAATAAATAAAGCAGAATTGTGTCTAATCTTAATCTGAATTGGCCAATAAATATTTAAGGAAGCAGTACTAGTTATTCCTCTTTCTAGGTTTCCTTCATTTTTGGCTTCTGAATAAATTATGAGCATTCATTAGCAATTCAAGGTATTTATATCCATTACAGAATATTTATAATTTATTAATCTCAAACTTTAATTTATTAAAAATTAGTCCTGTACACTTAAATGCAATAAACATATTGTTCTATTAATATATTTTCTATCAAAAATTCAGTTTTCCTAAAATCTCAATCCTTATTACTGAAATCATATGTAGTTGCTGCATTTTGTACCACTTCAGCAATCAGCCTTATGTTCTTTTATATAGCATTCAATTTTCATGGATGCATAATATATCAATCTGCTAATAAATGAAGCAACTGCAAGGAATGTTATAGCTTGATTTATTATCTGCATATCACCCTTCTATGAGTTATAACAGTGCCAAAATGGTGTATGTATGTTGCACGAAAAGAGACAGCTTATAACAGCGACTTGGAGAAAATTAGCTGCTTATTAACTAATATTAGATGATCAAGGTTATTACCAATGAGCAATTAAAACTACAAGGAATTTACAAAGAAATAAAAAAGATATTCTTATGATTAAGGTACTACAGATAATTAAGTAGGTCCTTAAGTAGGTCCTATGAAATTGTTTAGAACCATTTTCCTTTAAAAAAAAACAAACAACCAAACTTCTAACTCAATGCTACAAGGCCAAACTTGTAAACAAGCTCTAATAAAATAAACAGTAAATGAACAAAATTTCAGTGGCAAGAAAGCAGTAGTTTTACCAATATTACTAACAAAACAAACAAGTAAGTATATACCGTATTTTCCGGCGTATAAGATGACTTTCTAAAGTGTTGAAAGGATGCCGAAGTCGGGGGTCGTCATAGACGCCGAGTTGTCTTATACACCAGAAATTACAGTAGTTTCCAGTGAATAAGACGACTTTCTAGGCATGCAACTCAGCGCCGAAGTCAGGAGTCGTCTTATACGCCGGGTCATCTTATACGCCGGGTCGCCTTATACGCCAGAAAATACAGTACCTGCATATTATTTTGTGTATCAGTTTGTATTGTCCTTGGGCAAAATTTGAACTTTCTTTTCCAATTATCTAAATCAGGCAACAATCAGTTCTAATTAGCTTCTACCTTCCCCTCAGGATCTTCTATTCCTTATCTTTCAATTATTTTCCCATTGTTGTTGTTAATTGTGAAGTCATGTCCGACCCATCGCGACCCCATGGACAACATTCCTCCAGGTCTTCCTGTCCTCTACCATCTTCTGGAGTCCATTTAAATTCACACCTACTGCTTCAGTGACTCCATCCAGCCATCTCATTCTCTGTCGTCCCCTTCTTCTATTGCCCTCAATCTTTCCCAGCATTAGGCTCTTCTCCAGTGAATCCTTCCTTCTCATTAGGTGGCCAAAGTACTTGAGTTTCAACTTCAGGATCTGGCCTTCTAAAGAGCAGTCGGGGTTGATCTCTTCTAGGACTGACCGGTTTGAACGCCTTGCAGTCCAAGGGACTCGCAGGAGTCTTCTCCAGCACCATAGTTCAAAGGCCTCAATTCTTTTGCGCTCAGCCTTTCTTATGGTCCAACTTTCACAGCCATACATTGCAACTGGGAAAACCATGGCCTGGACTATACGCACTTTTGTTGGCAGGGTGATGTCTCTGCTTTTTAGAATGCTGTCTAGATTTGCCATAGCTTTCCTCCCCAGGAGCAAGCGTCTTTTAATTTCTTGGCTGCAGTCCCCATCTGAGGTGATCTTGGAGCCCAGAAAAATAAAATCTGTCACTACCTCCATTTCTTCCCCATCTATTTGCCAGGAATTGAGAGGGCGGATGCCATGATTTTGGTTTTCTTAATGTTGAGTTTCAAGCCAACTTTTGCACTCTCCTTCTTCACCTGCATCAAGAGGCTCTTTAGTTCCTCTTCACTTTCTGCCATTAGAGTGGTATCATCTGCATATCTTAGGTTGTTGATATTTCTCCCGGCAATCTTAATTCCAACTTTTGATTCATCTAGCCCTGCCTTTCTCATGATGTGCTCTGCATATAAGTTAAATAGGCAGGGCAACAGTATACAGCCTTGCCGGACTCCTTTTCCAATTTTGAACCAATCAGTGGTTCCGTGTTCGGTTCTCACTGTTGCTTCTTGACCCGCATATAGGTTTCTCAAGAGACAAATGAGATGGTCCCATCTCTTTAAGAACTTGCCACAATTTGTTGTGATCCACACAATCAAAGGCTTTTGCATAGTCAATGAAGCAGAAGTAGATGTTTTTCTGGAACTCCCTAGCTTTCTCCATGATCCAGCGTATGTTGGCAATTTGATCTCTAGTTCCTCTGCCTCTTTGAAATCCTGCCTGTACTTCTGGTAGTTCTCGATCCACATACTGCTGGAGTCTAGCTTGTAGGATTTTAAGCATAACTTTACTAGCATGTGAAATGAGTGCAATGGTGCGATAGTTTGAACATTCTTTGGCATTGCCTTTCTTTGGAATTGGAATGTAAACTGACCTTTTCCAATCCTGTGGCCACTGTTGAGTTTTCCAAATTTGCTGGCAAATTGAGTGTAGCACTTTTACTGCATCGTCTTTTAAGATTTTGAATAGCTCAGCTGGAATACTGTCACCTCCACTAGCTTTGTTGTTGCTCAGATTTTCTAAGGCCCATTTCACTTCACATTCTAGGATGTCTGGTTCGAGGTCAGTGACCATCTCATTGTGGTTATCTGGGATGTTAAGCTCATTCTTGTATAGTTCTTCTGTGTAGTTTTGCCATCTCTTCTTAATCTCTTCTGCCTCTGTTAGGTCTCTGCCATTTTGGTCCTTTATCATGCCCATCTTTGCATGAAACGTTCCCTTCATATCTCCAATTTTCTTGAAGAGATCTCTGGTCCTCCCTATTCTGTTGTTTTCTTCTATTTCTTTGCACTGTTCATTTAAGAAGGCATTCTTATCTCTTCTAGCTACTCTCTGGAATTCTGCATTCAATTGGGTGTATCTTTCTCTTTCTCCTTTGCCTTTCGCTTCCCTTCTTTCCTCAGCTATTTGCAAAGCTTCCTCAGACAGCCATTTTGCTTTCTTGCATTTCTTTTTCTTTGGGATGGTTTTAGTTGCTACCTCTTGTACAATGTTGCGAACTTCCATCCATAGTTCTTCAGGCACTCTGTCTATCAGATCTAATTCCTTAAATCTATTTGTCACCTCTACTGTATATTCATCAGGAATATGATTTAGTTCATACCTGAGTGGCCTAGTGCTTTTCCCTACTTTTTTCAATTTAAGCCTAAATTTTGCAACGAGAAGCTCATGATCTGAGCCACAGTCAGCTCCTGGTCTTGTTTTTACTGACTGTATGCAGCTTCTCCATCTTTGGCTGCAGAGCACATAGTCAATCTGATTTCTATGTTGACCATCTGGTGATGTCCATGTGTAGAGCCGTCTCTTGGGTTGTTGGAAAAGAGCGTTTGTTATGACCATCGTATTCTCTTGACAAAATTCTATTAGCCTGTGCCCTGCTTCATTTTGTACTCCAAGGCCAAACTTGCCTGTTATTCCGGTTATCTTTTGGCTTCCTACCTTAGCATTCCAATCCCCCATGATGATAAGGACATCATTTTTTGGTGTTAATTCTATAAGGTGCTGTAGGGCTTCATAGAACCGGTCAATTTCATCCTCTTCAGCACCAGTGGTTGGGGCATAGATTTCCCTATTACTATTTCCAATTTTCTTGCTAACTCATCCTGTCTTAAAATATAATATAATATTGTATAATATTTATTCAATAAATATAAAATAAGTATGTTTGATTCAATTTACCTAAGAATGCCCAAAACCAAGCATCACAACTTTGTATCTAAACCAGTAAAAAAAATGCCTGTGAGCTTTTTCAGTATAGTATCATTAAGTTTTAGGAATAAATAATCTCTATATCCTGGTACAAAATAGTGAAACAGTAGAAATTTAGCTCCCTCTTTCTATGGGCTATCCTTTGCTTTCTTAGACTATGAAAATCTCTGTATTTTGTCAAGAATTAGTCTCTATTCACTGAACAGAGTGAATAGAACAATCTCCACTGTTTTAATTCTTTGTTCTAAGGAGTTGACTTCAATATGTATTTATCTTTTTTTTTTTTTTTTACAGGATTTACAAATTGTTCTAGTCAAAATTGGTTTCAAGCAAATGTCATTGGGACACCCTCAAATATTAAAAAAAAATCAGGAAGACAGAAAACAGAAAAATGAACTGTGGCAACTAATAGACATTGAAGTGTAATCTACAAAAATCATACCCTTGAAAAGAAAATGAAGGTAATCATCCTTTTGAGGGGGAAAAAATACAGTGTCTATCTTAAACATCTATCTAACAATTCATTTGCTTTTCACCCATACTCTCAATAGCAAGCATTTCTAGCTTAAAGAACCTTCCCAACCCAAGTCTTAATGTTTTAAAACAATGTTATAGCTCCAATATCTCAAATGAAAAAGGGTCCTCAATTCCAATTCAGAATAAACTACACCAGTGGTGGCGAACCTATGGCACGGGTGCCAGAGGCGGCACTTGGAGCCCTCTCTGTGGGCACATGTGCGGATGCCCCAGCCTTGCCTCCCCCGTGACCCCCTCTCCAGCAGCCCCCCTGAAGGAGAGTCGCCCTCAAGCGTGGCCCACACAGAGCAGTGCAGCCAAGGACATGGCAGCCAGGTAGCATAGACAAGTCACACCCCCATTATGCTGCAGGGCACAGGCAGAGGATGTGGCCACCATAGAGCTGCTGAGCTGCCTGGGCGATCTATGGTCGGCCCTGGAGGCGGTGAGTGGTCCTGTGGGCAGGCAGGGTGGGGGATGGGGGGCAAAGCAGGGGTGGGGTAGGGGGTGGAGTGGGGGGCGGGGCCAGTTTTTGGGCATTCGGTCTCTAAAAGGTTTGCCATCACTGA